TTTTTTTTGTGATTTGGATGAATGGCACGCTGCCACCTCAGTGGGGGTCGACCCCCAATGGGGGTCTGTAGCAAAGTCCATTTAAAAGTGACGCCCAACTTTTGTCTCCGGAAGCTTTTGCCAAATGTAATTAGATAATAAAAACAAAAATGCTAGAGGCCCCAAAAATTCTATCAAAAGTTTTACCAAATGTCTCACATGGGTGTGGGACTCACATGGGACCCACATTGTGTGAGTCTCACATCCATGTGAGATATTTGATAAAACTTTTGATGAAATATTTAGAGTTTCTAGCATTACTCTAATAAAAATAAATAAATACATCTGCATCCTCCCTCCCACATCCACGTTCCCCCAGGTATCTCAACCAACCCAATTCTAAACTTCCATAAATGCCATTTCAAACACATTTTTATCTCTGACACATTTAAGACTATAGTTTTTCACAAATATAAAAAAAAAAATGACATGGCAAGACTATTTAGTGTATTTTGTTTAAGTTTTTTGAATTAAGTTTTTTGAAAATTAAGTTTTTTAGTTTTCATATTTTTTTGTTTTTAGTGAATATTTTTTAAATTTTTAATTTTTTTTTACTTTTTAGATGCACCTTACTTAGATATATCTAAAAAGTAAAAAATTTGTGAAAAAATATTTTAAAAAATTAATAAATACATAAAAATACAAAAAATGTACTGAATTCTCGTTTTTTTGTATTTTTATATTTTGGGTATTTAGTGAATTTTTAAAAGGTTTTCTTTACAATTTTTTTACTTTTTAGATACATCTAAGTTAGGTATGCCTAAAAATTAAAAAAATTGCTTAAAATATTAAAAAAAATAGTAAAAACAAAAAAAAAACACGAAAAATAAAAAAGTAGAGTTTTCTGAAAAAGTGTTTTTTAAAAAGTGAAACTAAGCATAGTGATTGTTTCTCTGTGATAGTAAGTAATTTAAGAATCATTAATTTTTATATTTTCATTGGTTGAAATTTTTGTTTTTTTATTTTTCATATATATTCTGTAAATTGTTTTTCTTGTTTTTAATTCAATTCGATAGTTCGAATGGTTTTTGGTATTGCATGGTGGCGTGTGTGAGAGAGGGAGAGAGAGAGCGAGGAGGTTGTTGTACAACGGAGAATGGTTGCTGGATTGTTGTGTACCGGTTTGATTTTCTAACAATACTTTTAGAATTTATTTTTTAAAAACTAATATAAAAACACTATTTTAATACTATTTTTGTCCTCTCAAGAATAACGGCAGAGAAAGTGTAAACAAGACTATTGTTTCTCTTTGATGGTAAATGGTTTAAGTATCATTAATTTTTATATTTTTATTGATTGAAAATTTTATTTATTTATTTTCATATATATTCTTTAAATTGTTTAAGAGTCTTGAATTTTTTATATTCTCAATCATAGAAGTTTTTGTTCTATTTTGTTGATCATGTTGATTGAAAAAATAACAAATAAACCTAAATTAAAAAATACAGACTTTATAATGTGAATTTTAAACTCATATTTTTATGAATTTTCTTTTTTCATAGAAACCGCCATATAAAAATCTACATGTTTATAATGTGATTTTTTTAAAAATTTTTTTTAAAGCTTTATTGATGGAAAACATGTAGACATTATAATGTGAATTTTTTCAAATTTTCATTTTATTTTTTTTATGGATGAACCAATTCTCTCTCTTAAAATCTTTATTTGTTATTTGGGTTCTAGAGTTGTTTTTATATATCAATTGTGATGAATTAATTCTTCATTGTTTTTCTCGGTTCTTTCTCTCAATTTTTTTGACTGAAACTTTTTTTTCTCAATTTCTTTTTATTTTATTTATTGTATTTTTTTATTATGAGATATATATAGATTATTTATTGTATTTTTTATTATAAAATATTAATTGTGATGGATCAATTCTCCACTATTTTTTCCATTTCTTTCTCTCAATTTTTTTTTGACTGAATTTTTTTTCTCTTTCTCAATTTTCTTTTTTATTTATTATATTTTTTAGTATAATATATCAATTTTGATTGACCAATTCTCCTTCTCTCAAACTCTTATTTGTGTTTGATATGTATTACTAGCTAAAACTTTTTCTCCAATTTTCTCTCAATAAGAAGTTATATTATAAGACAAGGAATTTTAAAATATTTTAAAATTAACAACATAAAACATATAAGATAGCTATAAGATTATGTACGAGTAACAGATAATTTTCAATTTATTTGTTATATCAGATAAGGTTCAATTTATTTGTATATTTTTTAAACTTATTGATTAACAGATTATTTGTAGATAATAAGAAGGTTTCAACAAATATTAAAATTGAAAAAATAATAATTTAAGATACCTTGAAAAATTATGTATGAGTATAGTTTTAAATTTGATTAAGCAAATAAAAAATAAATTTATAGATACCAAGGAGGACACCAAAAGTTATTAAAATTAAAAATAAATATTTAATTTTTTTCCGTGATCTTTCTTTCCTGTTCCTCTCAATTTCTTTTTATTTTTTTTATTCCTTTCATTTTTCTTTTTTCATGATATATAATAAAGTTATTAAAATTAAAAATAGATATTTAATTTTTTTTACGATATTTCTCATAATTTTATGAATTCATAATGTATATATATATATATATTTTGGTGGTGAAAATTAGGAAATATTGTATTTTTTTAAAAGATTTGTATATATTATATTGTACATATTTTTATTTGAAATATATACCAAGTAAATATTATATTGCACATAGTTAGAAATATTTAACTTGCATTACATTACACTTATAATACATATGTATATTATTATTAAAAAATATAATAAAAGAATAATTGTGGGGACATATTTTTTGGATAGCAACACGTGGCCAAGGTGGCACCGAAGTGTCAGCCGAGGTGTCATGTGTCCTTGACTTGATGCCGAGGTAATCTCGGGTAGGTCGAGGTTATCTGCGGAGATACCAGAATCCGAGATGAGCGGATAAGTTACAAGAGTCCTAGAATGAAGGAGGACCTCAGCCTGAGTAAGGATAAAGCTCTTATGGAGTTTATCTTTATTTATTGGAGAGTCCTGAATAGGCATTGAGCCAGAGTCCACTGAAGCTAGGCTTCTACAGGGATCAGGTCAATGTTGGTTATAAAAGTAAGGCACTCTCGTGGGTCTAAGGTACACTTTTTGTATTCTGGCTTGTGAGTTAAACACAATTGATTATCTTTGAGAGATATTGTTTACTGACTTGATCATCGGAGTGCCCGGGTGGAAGAACCACCGCCGGAATCTCATTTTTCTGTTACAGGTCGTTCGGGCGCAATCTATTCTGTCGGTGCTCTCCAGCTGAGTACCTGGTAGGCAGTGTGGTTAGAAAATCAGCACACACAATTTGGCGCCGTTTGTGGGAAAGAAAGGAGAATAGATGACCAACGACGAACAGAAAGGAAAGGTTGGGGACGACATCCCTAATGGGAGTGGTAAGCACATTGACTCTAACGTGGAAGAAGATAACTGCAACGAAGAAACTCGGGATCAGAATCCCGGAGAGAAAGACGTCGGTAAGGAGGGCGACGTACCAAAGAAATCTGACCGAGGCAAGTATTATAACGAGGACGACCTCTAGGTATGGAAAGATAGATGCTTACGGAGGGACGGCGATATGAAGAGAATGGCAAACAAATTGGCGGACCTGCAATTGGTTGTCAATTTCATGATGCAAAACAACGTCATGTAGCCACCGTTTCTATTACAGGATACACCGATTCCAGCGGCTAAGAACAATGCCCAGAAATGGGGATAG